CTTATTTGCTACTGTACAAGATGGCATTTAAGTAATAATAAATACATCACATATCAATTTTGAATAATGTTTATTGGTAATATGGTAACACTCGTGAAGCACACATTTATTAGTGTCAACCATTATACACATTTATATAATGATAAATTATAAATGATATATTTATAATAGCATTAAAAATGTGTATAATATTTAAAGACAACAATGTAATTAAAGTCATTCTTCAAATATGACATGATCGGTTTGTCATTGTAATTAGCATTTAAGACTTGAACTTTCATCAGAGAAATGAAGTAATTGCTGATTAATAATTTCTTTAATATTTGTTCACACAGTGAATTATGTTAAACAACGCCTAAACAAATATTGTTTTTGCAACTTCACTCATTATGTAATAATTGTATTTGAAGAACTTCATGTAATTAAAATTAACATACATTCATTGACTGCTTGTATTTTTTTTTACTTTTTCGCTGGCGATTCTTTGAACAGCTGTAATATCTGTCTTGCCTAAAATATTTTCCATTTTAATAACTTCAAAGATTTATAGAAACTTACGTTTAGTATAGGGCTCAAATGTTTAATTTGATTTATTATTTTTATGGAACAGGGTAAAATATTTTTCTGATTCAGGCATTTTTCATTAAATCAAGATTAGTACTAATATGTAACTTTAAAATGTTTATTTATCTATGCCGATTTTCTTGTTGATATCAGTATGCATCATACAACGTTGACGCCGGTACGCATACAACGACAGAAATCTATTCACATACACGACGACTAATCACAATCGACCCGTATAGAAATGATATCATCGAGAGCGAATGATGAATCATTGGCACTCGACTCTTATCTTATCGACTCTTATCTGCCGCAACGCATTTCCGTTGCATTTGTACGGATTTACACCCTAATCGCGCCTAAAGAAGTTTTACTTCATAAAACCTTTTGGAAAGTTGCACAAACTTAAAATTTGAAACTTAAACATTTGTTAAATTTTTTGTCTACTTTGAGAAATTTTTGTGTCCTCAAGACTACTAAAATTAAAAAATATATTTTAAAGGAATCTATTTCTATGTGTTTTTTTAATTAGATTATAAAAGTTCTTATTCTTTTTTTTATTATTGTTATTGACTTTGTAGACAAGTACATTTTTAGCCATGTTCAATTACAATTTTTTCATATTATTTGTTTATTATAATTATTACTTTATTTTCGTCTACTTCATAATAACTCATAAAATATAATTACTTTTCTGATTGTAGTAGATTAATAAATGAATATAAAAACAACTAAACCCATTTATGTACAGATCTACAATAACTAGATCATCTTGTAATACTTTATTCTTGTTTCTAACTATTGCAAAGGTTGTTTATAAATATAAATATACCTGAAGACACCCACAACTTTGAAATTGTGAAATTTTAAACCAGTTTGCGTAGGATAAACAATGTCACGATTTGGATTCTTATAAGAATTCGATAAGATATAGACAGGAAATGCAACATTCTGATAAGATTTTTTTAAATAGCGAAATTCATATGAAATTTCGACAAAAACCTGCCAGTTTTTTTGTAAATTTTGTCAAAAAAAATGAGGATTTTATGAATTTTATTAATTGGATTCTTATAAGAATGCAATATGGTAGGGGGAAGTCCCCGAGTGCCGGACACCTAAAGTTATTTATAAATAAATCAAAAAATATTTTACGAAATGTTTATTAAATTATGACTTATGTTAGATAACAAAGTTAGAGATCAAACTAAATTAACAAAAACGCAATCTTTGCTAAACCATAATTAATACTATCAATCAAACTTTGGTAACAAAAAATGTCATTTTACTAAGTGGCACCTAGTACCGGACATTTCAAAATAACCACATATGTAGCCATCTCCACACTCTGGAATATCTGCAAAAAAATCACTAATTATCCACCCTTTTGGCTGGGCCACACCGATGCTCTCAGCTGGAGCATTCATCATAAGATTAGAAAATACGAAAAATGGGGGTATGTAGTGACCGTTAGCACTCATACAGAACAAAATGAAATAATTCGAATTAAGTACGTCCATTCATTCTCACAAGAAATATCAATATGTTTACTGTCCGGCACTAAGGGACGACTTAGTGTCCGGTGCTAAGGGACAAATATCTAATAATATTTTACCATTTTACGGATAACAATCAAGTACTACTTTTATTTTTGAATGCCACTAAAAGATAAATGCATAAATACACTAGAATTACTTCCATTGATTGCGCCTAAAACAACAAAGGGTTTTTCCCGCCGTGAGTCTTGGCGTGTGATCCTGCACCTGTGAGCCCCCCGCGCCCCCTTTCACTTGTATTTTGAAATAACAAGATTTATACTCGCCTAAATAATACGGGTTAAATAGAGTGTCCGGCTTTAAGTGCCGTCCGGCGTTACGGGACTTCCCCCTATAGACAGAAAATGCAACATTCTGATAAGATTTCTTTAAACAGATTCATATACAATTTCGTAAAAAACCTTCAAATTTTTTTTGTAAATTTTGTCAAAAAAATGGAGGATTTTATGAATTTTATTATTTGCATTCTTATAAGAATTCGATAAGATATAGACAGAAAATGCAATATTTTGATAAGATTTTTTTAAATAGCAAGATCCATATAAAATTTCGACTAAAACATTTATAAAATTTGTCAAAAAAAAGTTGTAACTATGTTATAACTTTCCATACTAAATATTGACAAAAGCCATGTGGTTGCTGTGCAGTCAGGCGTTTTTCTCAGGTTGTCAGATAGAAAACCTAACCTAGAAACCGCACATATGTCAAAAAAGCGATTTTAGATAACATGGTTTTTCTGACCCAGCCTCATAACATACAAGTGACGTTGCAGTTTATATGTAAAACGCCTGAATGCACAGCAAATACATGATATTATGACAGTATTTAGTATGATTTAGTAGCATAATGCATGGAAGTTGAAAAGTAACATGGCCTTGCCATAACATTGGTCTGTTACGCGGCAGAACCGACCTATTAATTTTTATAAAAATGTTTCTATAAAAAATTGTTACCAAAAAACCAAATGTGTGTTTTTGTCATAGATAGGATTAGCATTGCAAAACAAAACCTAACCTAGACCGAACAAATGTCAAAAAAGCGATCTTAGATAAAGGGGTCTTTCTGACCCAGCTTCATAACATACAAATGACATTGCAGTTTATGTGTAAAACGCCTGAATGCACAGCAGATACATGACATTTTGACAGTATTTAGTATGATTCTATAGCATAATGAAGTTGGTGCGTAACATGGCCTTGCCATAACATTGGTCTGTTGTGCGACAGAATCGGCCCATAAACGTTTTATAAAAATGTTTCCACAAAAAGTTGCCAGCAAAAAACCAAATGCATGCTTTTTGTCATAAATATTATTATAGATAGTATAAGTTATATTTATCAAAACAATTTTTTTTACAGATTGCGTATCCGTTACGTGATGCCGCCACCTCCTCCGACTGCACATCTGACTCTTCGAGAAGAAGATGTTGTCCGATTGGCACTCGAGTTCCTGCACAATCGAGATCTGCACATAGCCCAATTGGCTCTGGAGAGAGAAACTGGAGTTATAAATGGTAATTGGTAATTGATACAACTTACCAATAGATTAAATAATATTTAAAGTGGAGCTGTAAATGGTAATAGTAATGCTTTTGGTAATTGGCTGAATATTAACACAATATGATGAAGTCAAAAAGATAAAACTATTTTCACAAAAACCGTCTTTTAAGAGTACAATCTTCTCTATATAAAAAACTAGCAAACCCGACGAACTCCGTTTCGCCACCAGATGGTTTCGTGAGAAAGATGAAGAAATGTTTTGTTTGTTTTATATTTGAAAAGGAAAAATTTGATTTTATTATACAACAGTAATGAATTTATTTCGATTACAAAAATGAAGTGTTTTTTAGTTGAACTTCTCTAAGTAATTGAAAGTGAATCCGCAAATTATCCGTTTCATTGAAGTGCTCTTTGGTAAACCACATTTTTTGTTTTTTGGTCTGACGTTAACACAAACAAAGCGGATGGTTTTCCAACTCGTGAACAGGCAACTTATAACTGTCCATGTGAAAAACAATGATTTTCTAACTAATCTATTTGAAATTTATCCCGCAAACACTAAGCGATTGGCCTTGCGACTTGTTATTGCGAATGCAAGGCGAACTGGAAATTGCAATCGTTTGAAGTGAAACGGAAGATAAGTCGGAATCATTGGTATGTCACCAAATCGCCAGAAATTTTTGATTGAATGGTGAAATTCAGTACGTGTACATCATTATTCTTTGCGGCAAGAATTGCTCGTTGACTTAACCAAGCATAATTCTGATAATTCTCACTAATGGCATTACTCGAATTTTTAATTACGGTGCGCGAAGTTCCAGCAGCTTGCATTAAGGCACGATGCCATGCACAACTAATTTTCTTAGCTATAAACCTTGCGGAGACCGAGACCTTTCCAACGAATGCAAAATTGTCGAAGCCGGTTCGTGCGTTCTGGAGATATTTCGTCAGGAAGGAAAACCCGACTTATTTTTATATATATAGAAGATTAGGTCCAAAAACAAAAGAATGGGAATTTTTAATGGAATGTTGGACTAGGGTGCTTTGGAAATTTCTGCTTTAATGGTGAAGAACACTCAATTCACCAATTGTACCATTGTTTGACCAATGTATTGTTTGTCACAATTTTTACAAACAATTGAATAAACTAAGTTCATATTGAATTTAGGAGGGGTTGTTGTTTTAGTTTTTGAAAACATTTCTTTGAAAGAATATGAAGAGGTTCCTGTAATTAAAATATTTTCTAGTTAAGTAAAAATCGATGAGTCTTTTTATAAATAAGCCTGGTTGTATGCAATTTGCTGCACTTTGAAGTATGCAAAGTTGCATTCCAGTCTGGAACAATTAGTTTTTATAGCATATTAAATGTTTTCTTCCTTTTTAGGTAATTTTAGCGATGATGTCCTATTCCTCAGACAGCTCATCCTTGATGGACAGTGGGATGATGTATTGGAATTTATACAGCCGTTGGAAGCCCTTCCTGAATTCGATTCGAGACGATTCAGTTACATAGTTTTAAGACATAAATATGTTGAACTGCTTTGTATTAAATCAGAAGCTGCACAGGTAATTAAAAATGTACTTAAGTATAAAATACTAAAATTAAAACTATACAATAAATGAAAGCATTCTCACAAAATTACAAAACTTCCTACTTTAATATATAATTTTGTAATTGGTAAAATCACAGTTAGGTCTAAAACTTACATATATCAGGATGTTTATGGAACTTGCCTGAAGACAAAATGTCATTTACATCTAGTTTTGTTCATAACAACTAAAAAATCTATTAAAAAACATTTTTACAAAAAATATTTAAGTAACGCTTACCATGCATATCCAAGCCTAAGTAAAAATGTAATGCAAGCATAAACAATTTTTCTAACAAAACTACTTAAAAATTGCTAAACAATTTTTCTGACAAAACTACTTAAATGTTGCTAAAACTACAATCTGTTTTTCTAAATAGATCATCTGCACCTAGTTCACTAATTAAACTTATCTTTTATTCTAGGTTAGCAATGTTGACAGTGCAGTGGACGAAGTAGTTCGAGTCCTAAGTGATTTAGAAAAATATGCCCCTAGCAAAGACGAATACTCAAACCTATGTCTGTTACTAACTCTTCCCCGATTGACAGACCATTTAGAATACAGAGACTGGAACCCGAGTAATGCAAGAGTTAGATGTTTCAGGGAAGTTTATCCCTTAGTCGAGAAATTTTTATCAAGTGCTACCACAACTAATGGTGCCTTGAATGGACAGGATAAATTTGGTGGACAACAAGAGGCTAAAAATGATAGGCTGATACAGTTGATTATTAAAGGAGTGCTTTATGAGTCGTGTGTAAATTATTGTCAGGTGAGGAAAGGATAAAACAGACAAATAATGAAATAGAATTAGAAAAATTTATTAAATTAAATTTAATTAAATCAAGGAAGTAAACTTTAGAGTGTGGAAATTAAAATAGGAACCTTATCAATATTTAGTGTCATATTTTTTCGTAATTACCAACCTTATTTATCATTGATTTTCCAGATAAACTTAATTAACATTTATTAGGCAAACCTAATAGATTGCGTATTTTTGAGTGAAGAAATATCCAAATCCATATCTGCAATATTTAGACAACTATGAAATGTTTGAGATTCATTTCTTCACTATTTACAGCAAAAACTATTACATCAGTTGTAGATCCATGCAGGTTCATATTTTTTCATACATTCTACTACATTTTTAGACCAGTTACTGCATTTTCAAACAATTTACTAAATACACTATCGGATAATTTACATTATCGGATGATTTATAACATTTTCAGACAATTCACAACATTTTCAGACAATTCACAACATTTTCAGACAATCTACTACATTTTTTGATAGTCTACAACATTTTTAGAAAGTCTACAGCATTTTTAGATAGTCCACAATTTTTCTGGCAATCTACTACATTTTTAGACAATTTTCAAAATTTTCAGACAATCTACAACATTCAACATTTTCAGACAATCTACTACATTTTTAGACAATCTACAATATTTTCAGACAATCTACAATATTTTCAGACAACTTTCAAAATTTTCAGACAATCTGCTACATTTTTAGACGAGCTACAACATTTCCAGACCATCTACTACATTTTCAGACAATTTACAACATTTTCAGACATTCCAATACATTTTTAAATAGTCTACACTATTTTCAGACAATCTACTATATTTCTAGACAAGTTACAACATTTTTAGACAATTTGCAACATTTTTAAGCAGCTTACATCATTTTTAAAAAGTCTACAATATTTTCTGACAATCTACAACAATTTTAGACAGTCTACAACATTTTTGAACCTTTTTCCACATTTTTAGACAAACTACAACTTTTTCCGACAATCTACTACATTTTCAGATAAATTACAACCTTTTTAGACAAGTTATTACTTTTTTAGGCAGCATTTTCAAATAGTCTTCAACATTTTCATACAATGTTCGACGTTTTCAGAAAATTTATAACTTTTTCAGACAATATAGAATATTTTTAATCCAACTGCAACATTCTCGTACATTTTACAACAGTTTTTGTCAACTTTTTCAGACAATATACATCATTTTCAGACTTTTAGATAATCTACTACATATTCAGACAATCTATGTACAACATATTCAGACAATTCACACAATTTTCGAACAAAATACATCATTTTCATAAAAGTTATTACACTTGTAGACAATCTACGTCATATTCAGACAATCTATGTGCAGCATATTCAGACAATTCCCACAATTTTCAGACAATATATATTATTTTCAGAAAATTTATTAAACTTTTAGACAATCTACAACATATTTAGACAATCTATGTACAACATATTTAAACAATTCCCACAATTTTAAGACAATTTTCATCATTTTCAGAAAACTTATTATAATTTTAGGCAATCTACGACATAATCAGACAATCTATGTACAACATATTCAAACAATTTTCACAATTTTCAGACAATATACATAATTTTCAGATAATTTATTACACTTTTAGACATTCTAAATATATTCAGACAATCTACGTACAACATATTCAAACAATTTCCACAATTTTCAGATTATTGATAAAAAATTAAAAGTAATTTGTACAAGAATTAAGTAATTTAGTCTAAAATTTAAAAAATTGGTTAAATATTAAAGAGCTTGAACAAATGAAATTAAATTTTTTCTAAAATTTAGAAATTCTGTCTAAACTGAAAAAAATCGAATAAAAATGAATTTATTGCAGCATTTTATGCTTATTGAATGTTGCAGTAGAAGTTTTTCTTAAAAAAAACAAATAGAATCTTGTATAAGGAGGCATGATTAAGAATCTCGTACAAATGCTAAATTAATGCTTCCTGAATTTCGTTCAAAAATGAATAAATTTGATTAAAAATTAATAAACCTAAAACATTTAAAGTAACCTTGTTGGAAGCTGCATTAGAAGTTTTACTTCATATATAAATTTTGTACCAAAATATGTTTTTTACCTTAGGCAAAGGCTACAGGATCAACAGTTAAAGACACAGGATCAAATCCATCCACCAATTCGGGTTCCCAAACAAATTGTGGGTCCACAATAACACAAGAGATGAGTTTTTCAAGACTGCTGGATGGTTCTTTAGGATTCTCTGACTCTGATTTAAGTTTGCTGTCCTGGTTACAAAGTATACCAGGAGACACATTTGCTGTGCCTTTTGAACAAAGGTAAAATTGTAATAGAAATAAATTTATGAAACCATGTTTTTATTGATATCTAAATATTTTTGTAGGACTTTAAATGTGGATGTTGAAAGATTAGAAAGGCCTGCACTGGATGCATCCTGGACTGAACATATGCTGGTTGTGCCCATTAAACCAAGATCCTTCCCACATTCTGCAATGCCTTTTACTAGGCCAAGAAGTGCTGCTGATGCTATGACCAGGTTGGTAAAAGCAATATTAAGGCAATACTTGCTTCAATTAACTATGTTTTTAATATTTTGTAGATCATTGATGCCTGGTTTGGATGGTTTAGGCTCCACTGGACATCCTGATGGAGCAAACTCAGACTCAACAAATCCAGGTAAATAAATAAATTCTGCTACAGAAACTAAAACAATACTGAACAAAAAGTAATTTGTCTTTTTATCTATTTTTTCAGGAGGTGTTATGTCCAGATCAAGTTTTGCCAGTTTCCATTTAACTGGTGTTAAAAATGGTAAACTAATGTCTTCAAGTGTTGACAGGTTATTTGAAAATGCAGGAGACGGTGAAGTATTTTTAAGCAGTAGCTATGCTGATTTTCATAACCCTATGCCTGCCATACATGAAGGAGTTGCTAAATCCAGATCACCAGACCTGTCACAGGTAAATAAAAATGATAATGGTACATAGATATAAGTGACAGTTTTTTTTGTTATCATGTATTTTAATTTTTATTTTATCATTTATCCAGGCATCAACACCAGAGCACCACCTGCCTCGACCAAATGCTCCAAACAGTGGCAGAGACACACCACCTTCAACAAACAACTCAACAGCTCGGTCATCTAGGAGGGACTCCTTAAATGACTCCAATAGAACTTACGCAGTACCTCACCAACATCACACACAGCACAAAGAATCTCCTCAGCAACAGTACCATGCAGTAGTCCACAATTCAGAAAAAATCTATGCCAGTCCCCACCAGGATAAAAACCAATACCATTCTAGCCTGGATCGAATGGGTGGAGGAGCCAGGAATGAAAGTCCAATACATAATAGGACTGTCACATCATCTCCTGTACTTGGTGGACAGATGAAGTCAATGCAGAGCCCAACAAGGGTAAGAGTTTAACATAACTTGGGAACAACTAATTTTGTACTAACTCCAATTTGTTCTACAGGTTCCTGGTGCTTCACCACCATTAAATCACAGGCCTGTCCCAAATCAACAATCAGCACAAATCCCTTATGCCAACTCGGGTTTAGGGATTATCACATCCAACAATACCCAAGTGCAATATCAGCAAGCTAATGGTGACAATTCATCAGCAAGAACTGGTGAACTGTTAAGGGAGTACCACCAGAAGCAGAAGTTAAGAACCAGTGACACAAATGGGGGTCCCAAGGAGGTGATGATGCAGCAGCATCAGCAGCAGCAGATGAGGGGGAAACAGTTTATACAGGGAGGAGATGGGTGAGTTGATCAGATTTTTTTATTTTTTCAACAACCATTTATTTTTGCTTGATTAATCTGTAAATATTAATTGCTGCCCACGCTGGAAATATCTTGTTACCTTTTTTGGACATGAATGCAGACAAATGTGTGTGTTTGTTTTATAATGAAGCAATTTGCATACATTAATATCAAATGCGTTTTTAAATTCCTATAAACGATTGTGTTATTGAAGTAAAACTTCTAGTGCGATTTTTTTTAGAAATTGTATCTGAAAAGAGGTCTGGAAAAATTCAGTCTCTGAAATTTTTTTGAGAAGACGAAGAAGGTTTTTGAATAGATTGTTTTAAAATGTTGCTTTCTTTTATAATAGACATTTTGAGATGTAACATGTTCAAATTACAAGATAGTAGTACAGATAGTACGTCCTAAAGAGCTCTTTAAACTTGCCCTTCAATTTTTGTATATTATTTTAAATATTATAGAGGTTTTGTCAGACTTTTGTCAATATCTGAAAATTTTGTGAGAAAACTTATTAAATTTAATATTTGTAATCATAGTAGACATATTAAAGTATAAGGTATTTAATTTGCAAGGTCGTAGTACAAACAGTACGTCCTGAGGAGCTCTTTGAAAATGACTTTTTAGTTTTTGTATATGGTTATAAATATTATTGAAGTTTTGTCAGATAATCGTCAATATCTCAAAAATTGTGGGAAAAATAATTAATTTTACTACTTGTAGATATACTAGACATATTCAAGTATAACTTGTCCCTATTTCAAGGTCGTAGTACAAACAGTACGTTCTGAGGAGCTCTTTGAAAACGTCATTTTTTTGTTAGATTATAAATCTCACAAAATGTTTGATATATTTCAAATCGATTGGTAATATTATGAGTTTATCATTTTATTTGTAATTATTTCTATTTCTAAAAAAATTAAATAGCAAGAATTTTATAGAAAAAAAAAAAATAATAATGTGAAAAGTTTTTCGAACTTGTCCGAAAATGAATTTGGTAGTAATAAAATAAAAATTTGGTAATTTAGTATCAAGCAAACTTATCTAAACAAAAGTTGTAAGAATCTTATAGGAATAAGATAAAAATGATTAGTTTGCCACCTATCAGATGATAAGTTTATCAAGAATCAAGAAAAAATACAAGTTTATCATTAAAACTTATTTGAAACTAAATCGAATAACTATAACAATGCGAAAAGACTCATCAAACTTGTAAGATTATTATAGAAAACACCTTTGAAATTTGACAAGATCACCAATCAAATCTCATAGAAAACAAACTAAAAAGTTGACAAGTTTATCACAATCATATTTATCTGAAAAAAATTGTAAGAATCTTATAGGAAATAAACTAAAAATTTGAGAAGCTTATTAACCAAATTTATCTGATTTTTTTGAATTTAAAGAATCTGATAAGAAACAATCAAATCTTATTTTGTAAGAATCTTCTAGAAAACAAACTGAAAATTTGACATGTTTATCAATGAAACTTATCTGAAAAATGAAATTGTAAGAATCTTATAGCAATCAGATAAGAATCTTATAGGAAACAAACGGAAAATTTGACAAGCTTATCACACAATCAAATTTATCTGAAAAAAAAAAATAGTTAGATCTTATATGAAACAAACTTAAAATTTGAAAAGCCCATTAATCAAATTTACCTTATTTTTTTAAAGATTTGTTTGGAAGCAAACTGACAATTTGTCAATTAAATCTGATCTTGTAAGAATATAGGAAATAATATGAAATTTTGACAAGTTTGCCCATCAAATTCACCAGAAAGAAAAATTTGTAAGAATTTTCTAGCAATCAGATAAGAATCGTATTGGAAAATCTGAAAATTGGACAAGTTTATAGGAAACAAACTGAAACTTTGACAAGCTTATCAAACAAATTTTCTGAAAAAAATTGTAAGAATCTTACGAAAATCAGATAAGAATCTTATAGGAAAATCTGAAAATTCGATAAGTTTATATCAAATTTATCTGAAAATAAGTTTGTAAGAACCAGATGAGAATCTTATAGGAAACAAACAAAGTGAAAACTTGAAGAACAAACTGAAACTGAAAATAAATTTGTAAGAATTTTATAGCAATCAGATAAGAATCTTATAGCAAAAACTGAAAATTTGACAGGTTTATCGAACAAATTTTACTGAAAATAAATTTATAAGAATCTTTTAGCAATCTGTTAAGAATCTTATAAGAATCAAACTGAAAAATTTGACAAGCTTACCGCACAATTTTTTCTAAAAAATGAAATTTAATATTCTTATAGCTATCAGATAATCTTTTAAGAAACAAACTGAAAATTTGACAAGTTTACCAAACTAATTTTCTGAAAATAAATTTGTTAGAATCTTCTAGCATTCTAATAAGAATGTGATAATTTTATGAGTCAGACTTAAGTTTATCGATCTCACTTGTTTGTGTGTGAAATAGTAAATTTGTTTTAATTGCTCAGATTAAAATAAGTAATTTGAGAAACGTCTATTTTATGAAATTCATTAAGAAACCGTTAATTAAGTCCAATTAAAAAAATATATATTGCACGGCCCGATGACGATGACTTTGTTCTTCTTTCGGACTTGCACTGAAACTTTCTATTTTACGATCAGAAGAAACTGTACTTGACTCGAATATTTAGAAAAGACTCTGTATATTAATATTTAGGGAGCTCATCAGGACCACACAATGATAGAAGACTTATACGTTAGTAACCTGACATATAAAAGCTAGTGGTGCTTGGCATTGTGCCTCAAGGCAAATTACTGCAACTTTCCGTACCGTAAAAAAATATTCGAGAAATAAAAATAAATCATTCGACAAAAATTTATCAATGATAAATTTAAATTAATTTAATATTGTAAATACTATGTATTCATAGGGCAAAATGTGAGAGCTTATAAATTATACGACGTCGGTTGTAAATGAAATATATATAAACAAAATCTAAGCAAGCGGACTTATTGCTAAAATAAAAGGACCTCATCTCATATTTCATCGTGCATTAGAGGTTCTTATATTATATTTCTAACATAAATTTGTTTCCAACATATCAACTTTCTTGTGCGAAATCTATGCACTAAATCAATATTCATAAATATTTTATATAATAATTAAGTATAAAAACTTAAAGAAAAATAAAAAAAAAATGCTTACAGGATTTGAATCCGATCAATTCCAACTTTCTCATCTAAGAATTCGAGCGCGAAAAATAGTAGTAACTTTCTTAAACTGACTGAGCTACCAATATATATTGATGTGCAATGCTGTCAGAGTACTAATTGAGCACTGCTTATTTTGCAATTGTCCATTTGAAATTATTTGAAAATCTTGAATCCCCTGGATCGTCCATTCCCAAAAACTAAACGGTTCTTTACAGTGTCAACAGAAGAAATTTTTTTTTGAATCATTCTTATCGGGTGTTTAGTTATTTCAAAAGCGGCTTTTTGCACTCTCCGAAGCTTCTGGAAGAGCCTAAACTAATCATCACATCATTTTTTCTAAAATATGCCAAAATGTTCAGAAACCTCTGAAACGTAAAATAAGCAAGAAAAATATTTGTACTTTTTGGAGGTTAGGTTTTATAACGCCTCATCGCAAATACATAGCTTTTTGACAGTTTATGACTACCAATTTATACGATCATAGACCCATAATATAACATTTATATTTTTTCGAGAATTGTCCATAATATTGGACATTTTGTGGACATTTTCTTAAAAACGACTGCGCCGATTTCCAATATTTAACTTTCCATAGGGTAAGTTATGCCCTATACGTTTCAAAGGTTTCTGAACATTTTGGCATACCTTGGAGTAAATTTATGTGTGTGTAGTACTCGTATGTATGTATGTTTGTATGTTGGGTACAATTTTTGTCCACGATTTCGAGAGCACTAATCAACCGATTTGCACGAGTTAAAAATCTTTCGATTCCTATCGACGAGGAGACGTTTGACAAAGGCAGGTTCAAACATTTTGAATAATCTGGGCAAAAAGTACAACGGTTCAGTTCTTGAGAGCTGAACATCCGATGAGAATGATTTAAAAAACTTTAGATTTGTATTTATGGGAAGACGTTCCGGTTAGTTTTTTACAAAGGCTGATTTAGCCGTTTAGGAGTTACGCAGTAAAAAATCGCAATTTAGAGGTTAGGTAGGGCTGGCCCAGTAGTCTTGGAGATGCAGGAACAAAGTAAAATAAATACCATTTGGTAGTCAAAAATGATAATTGTAGTCCATTAAAATTTCATTTGGTATGTCAGAATGAATAAATGATTACATTGTTGGTAGGGCAGGCCCAGTGGTCTCGGAGATGAAAAAAAAAGTTCGAAAAATTGCCATTTGATGGTCAAAAATAATAATTGGAGCCCATTAAAATGATTCAAAAACCATTTTATTTGTATTGTTGATTACATTTTTGGTAGGGCAGATCCAGTGGTCTCGGAGATGCAAAAAATGTGAAAAATCACCATTTGGTGGTCAAAAATGATACAAATCAAATTACTGATTAAGTAGACTATTTACACATTTCATGCAACTTGCCTTAAGGTAAAATTTACTTAAATCTTTATTTTATCAGTAGATGAATTAGCTGCTTCTGAAATCATATATGTATATATACACACGTGTGTTTATATTTTTTATTTGCCGATGAAATTCCAATAACAAAACAACACATGTGCTGCTCTATATGCAAAAGTAATTATCGCTTCGCTGAATCATACTTCGATTCTTATTGGTTTCCAACACACACGATGGATTCTTATTAGAATTCTCTATGTCAATGCTGAATCTTATACGAATCTTATCGGAATCTTTGTATGTATTTTAATTTATATGTATATGTTAAGAAATCGATTGTTTATTTGCATGACACGTCTTGATTTATTATTGCTGATGTGGTAAGCAAAATTGACTGAACACAGATTTTGAAAAGCTCCTCAGAACGTACCGTTCGTACTACGAAATAGTAATTTTGATATGTTATATCTAAACATATCTACTATGACTGCAAATACTAAAATTCTAAGGTTATCTCATCAAAATATAAGTTATTAATTAATTTTTTTAAAAATGCTGAAATTAGATCATATATAATGATTTTTTTTTATTTCACTTTATTTTAGCAATCAGAAATACAAAAATAATTTCTATGAGCTAAACTGTACATTTAAATAAGTATGATATTATATAAGATAATCCAGTGATATATCTTACATAGTTTACATAAAATCGGCTTTATCCTTTTACAGTAAGATGTCTGCAACTACTGGGTTTGGGTGGGTCTCTAATTTATTTCAATGGATTAAGGCACGCTCTTGTATTGTTTGCCAGACTGTTAACATTTTCAGGTTATTGTGTATTGTAAAGATTTTCACGTACCATGGTGCGTTTAGAATTAGAATAGCATTCTTTCTATTATTGCAATATTTGATTTTGAAGCAGTGCCCCATAACTCTACGCCATACATCCAAATTGGTTTCATTACACACTCATACTATAGTAATTTGTTCTAGTTATACAATAGTAATATATAAAGATGAATGCATTATTTTCAAGAAGCTCTTTAGATCGACCTTGAAATTTGTTTCTTAACTTCCCGTAGGGTAGTTATAGTAATGGGGCGAAAATCGAAAACAAATTTTTTTGCATTTGTCGACGTTTTTAAGGTTTCTGAACATTTTGGCATACCTCAGAAACCATGGATGTGTGTGTGTGTTTTGTATGTCCGCATTTTTTAGTCCATGTTTTTGGGGCGCACTTATCAACCGATTTGAATGGTTCAAAAAACATTCGATTCCTATTGATAGGGAGATGTGCTGATTAGTTTTTGGCGAAGGCAGGTCTAGCCGTTACAGAGATACGGAGCAAAGAGTGCAAAAAATTAGAAATAGGTTTTTGCAAGAACGGGGGGCATCTGATTAGATTGATTCTAAATACATTCGATTCGTATTGACGTCGAGACGTGCTGGTTAGTTTTTAGCAAAGACAGGTTCAAGTGTTTGGGAAATACATAGCAAAAAATGCTAAAAATGCTAAAAATTACTGTTTTCATATAACGGAGAATCCGATTCGAATGATTCAACAAACAGAGTGTGAATAAATTATTGGTTTTTGGGGAAGACAAATAAATGTATATTGTTTATTTCTAAATTCCAAAAAATATTTTTTTAATTTCCAAAATATTTTTTTTTAAATGTCGAAAATGTTTCGAATTTTAATTTAAAAGCTCAATTATACATATTTGAAATAAATAATTTTAACTTTGCAACTCAGTTTATATAGTTCTTAGAAATATGAGATGAGGTCCTTCATTCTCACTTCTCCTGATCAAGTTTTGTTTTTCTTTTTTTCATGTAAACATTTGTAATAATCTATTTGAAAACATTAAAAATTTCTCGTATATTTTTATTACCGTACTGGAAGTTCCAGCAATTAACTTCCCGTAGGGCAAGTTGCAGTAATCGCAAAAAAATTGAAAATGAAAATTTTTATATATCTTTACGTTTCAGAGGTTTCTGAATATTTTGGCATACTTTAGAAAAAATTGATGTATGTGTGTGTGCGTGTGTGTATGTGTGTGCGTGTGTGTGTGGGTGTACGGATACAAATTTTTGTCGACGATTTAGGGAACACGGATCAATCGATTTGAATAATTCAAAAAACATTCGATTCGTATTGATAAGGAGACGTGTTGATTAAATTTTGACGAAGGCAAGTCTAGCCGTTCCGAGGATACGGGGCAAAAAGTGCCAAAAACGGTAACTCAGTTTTTAAGAGAACGGAGCGTCCGATTTTAATAATTCAAAAAACATTTTACTTGTATTGACAAGATGAAGTACTGGTGAAATTTTTGGGAAGGCAGGTCCAGCGGTTATGGACTCTCAATAAAAATAATTTAATTTGGCGGTCAAAAATGTTTATTGGACTTATGCACATCAAATTATCAGATATTTTATAGGGATTTTAATAATGTGTACGCATTTTGTGTAATTTTTCTTGGGTTTCGTACCAAGATTTTTAGGTACAATACGGGAAGTTCCAGCAATTTTCCTCAAGACACGACCCCATACACCACTAGTTTATTTATCCCAATTACCTATCGACATTGACAAGAACAAATTTGTTCCTCGAATTAATTTGTTTACACTACAATTTGTTGCTAATATATTATAATTTTAAACAATGACTTCAAACAACAAATAATTATAAAGTAACAAAAAAGTTATGTAATAACAATAACAATTATTTGTAGCTAACGTCATGCTATAATTTTTTTTCCTCCAATTGCCTGTCTATAATTATTTACACATTACTCATTCGATTGGATTCAGTACGCGATCGTCTTTCGTGGAATACAGTAGCAAAAATTATAAATAAATTATATAAACAATTTAATTTAATAAAAAAATTAATAAATAAATCTAATTTATAAAATACTATCAGTTATTGATAATATTAATTTTATTTATTTAAAAGTGCGTTTGTGTTTACCTACCAAAATGTTTCATAAAGTGCTCATATTTACACCGTTAAGTCCTCTAATAAAAATGTTTTAGACTTGTTGATTATTTATTTATAATATTAAATTTGTTTTACAAAATGTTCAGTTAATAACAATTGTGTGTGTGTTTTTTATTTATAAAAAATAAGTGCTTTTAATTGTTTATAATTAAAAATGTATTACAATAAGCGTCTACATCAGCGAAAAGATCGGGATTTGTCATCTGGACACAGCGAAAAGTGTTCTTTGTTCGGATATGATGGAAATGTTGTTAAAGTCGAAAGGTAATTGTTATAAATAAATAAATTAAAAAATAGCTCATTATTTTAAAAAAAATTATGCTGTTATTTAATTTACTACTCTTATGTAGAGATTTTCGGAAAATCTTTTATAACTATTGTTGAGAGATAAAAATATTTAAAATTAATATTTGTGGTCATAGTAGACACCTTTAGGTATAATTAGTTCAATTGGCAACTTTCTATTACAAACGGTACGTCCTGAAGAGCTTCCTAAAGATGATATTTCTATTTTTTTGGTATGATTATGGATTAAGTGTTTTTGGGTCTTGTTAAAAATATTTTAATACCTCAAAATTTTGAGAGAAAAGTTATTAATTTTAGTATTGTCTTTTATAATAGATATTTTGAGGAATAAGTTATCAAAATTTCAAGGTCGTTGTAGAAACGGTCCGTCCTGAAGAGCTTACTAAAGATGATATTTCTATTTTTTTGGTATGATTATGGATTAAGTATTCTTGGGACTTGTTGTTAAAAATATATTAATATCTCAAAATTTTGAGAGAAAAGTTTTTAATTCTAGTATTTGCATTTATAATAGACATTTTCAGGAATAACATATCTAAATTTCAAGGTCGTTGTGCAAACGGTGCTTCCTGAAGAGCTTCCTAAAGATGACATATCTGTTTTGCAGTATGATTATGGTTTTAGTATTTTTGGGTTGTCAAAAATATATTAATATCTCAAAATTTCGAGAGAATAGTTATTAATTTTAGTATTTGCATTTATAATAGATATTTTCAAGAATAAGATATCCAAATTTCGAGGTCGTAGTATAAACGGTGCGTCCTGAAGAGCTTTTTAGAAAACCACGTTTTTATCTTTGTATATAGGATAGAATCAGCACTTTTAAGACTTTTGTTAATTTTTTTTTAATATTGTGTGAAAAATGTTATTAATTTTAGTATTGTCTTTTATAATAGATATTTTGAGAAATATGATATCCAAATTTCAAGGTCGTAGTACAAACGGTGTGTCCTGAAGAGCTTCTTAAAGATGCTAGTTTTATCTTTAGTATAGAGATATTACCTTTGTATCATAGATTCAGTATTTCCAGTTATAATACCAATATTTTAAAATTTTGTGAAAAACTTATCAATTTTAGTATTTGCGGTCATAAAAGATAGGTTTAGGAACAACATTTTTAAATTTCAACATTGCAGTACCAACAGAGTGTCCTGAAGAGCTTCTTAAAAATGGTGCTTCTCTGATCACAGACTCATATATAGATTCAGTATTTCTAAGACCTTTTCTTAATAATTTTTTACTATCTTAACATTTTCCAAGAAACCTCTTCAATTTTAGTAGTTGTGGTCATAATAGACATATTGAAGTATAACATACAAAGAACAAGGTTGCAGAACAAACAATGCGTCCTGAAGAGCTTCTTAAAAATGACATTTTTATGATCATAGACTCATATATAGACTAAGTATTTCTAGGACTTTTTCTTAAAAAATTATTACTATCTTAAAATTTTCCAAGAAACGTCATCAATTTTAGTAGTTGTGGTCTTAATAGACATATTAAAGTATAACATATTTAAATTACAAGGTTGTAGTACAAACAGTACGTTCTGAACAGCTTCTTAAAAATGACATTATTGTGATCATAGACTATTATATAGACTAAGTAATTTTAGGACCTTTTCTCATAAAATGATTACTTTCTTAACATTTTCCAAGAAACATCATCAATTTTAGTATTTGTGATCATAATAGACATATTAAAGTATAACATGTTTAAATTACAAAGTTGTAGAACAAACAGTGCGTTCTGAAGAGCTTCCTAAAAATGACGTTCTTATGAACATACCCTCATATGTAGATTAAGTATTCTTGGGACCTTTTCTCAAAAAATTATTACTATCTTAACATTTTCCAAGAAACATCATCAATTTTAGTATTTGTGGTCATATTAGACATATTAAGGTATAACATATTTAAATTATAAGGTTGTAGAACAAACAGTGCGTCCTGAAAAGCTCTTTAAATGTGTATTTCTTTTTTCAGATTGGCGAGATCACCGCAACCACCATGTAAACAGAACATATACGATAAGGTAAGAAATTTTTAAATATAATTGTATATATATATATATATATATATATATATATATTTATATATACATATGTATATATATATATAAATTTATAAATTTATTATGATATGCAACAAAGTACTTCGCAAATGTTGCTAATTTGTTTAATTCAAATACAAAACCATAAATGCGAATATTTTATTGACACGGATTTAAATAATTCAAATTTTATAGAAATTTATTAAAATTGCAAATTATTTTAAAATTTTAAAGTTATTATATGTACGTATTTATATATCTAGTTAACAATCCCGTTAATACGCTTTTCCAAGAACCGCATCAGAAACACAATTTATGCTACAATTTGTATTAAGCGACATAGGAGCAATATTTCAAAGTACGTATCGGCTTATTATGCGAGAAATCGTATTAAGCGTAATTATCTTAACAAGGTTCACAGCACTATTTATGTAGTATTTTAAATTCTACCAACGTTTCGACACTTGGTTTGTTTCATCATCTAGGAACCTGACTAATAACACAAAAAGTGTATTATACGTGATAAAAACAATATAATTCAAAGTGCAGATATGGGCGTATTATGCAAGAAATCGTATTAAGCATGATTGTCTTAACAACACTCTTGTACTATTTATGAAGTATTTTAAATTAACGTTTTCGATATTCGGTTTGTCTCTACATCAGTTTAATAATTTGATATTAAACACTAAAATATATGGTCTAGAACGTCCGTGTTATCCGATGCACATATGGAAACACAGGTATTTTTATATTTATATATATATATATATATATATATATATAATAAACGTGTGAACTAAATAAAGAACTGTCCTAATTTTTATTTTAGTGTTAATTGGTTCTTAATTGATTGAAATTGATACCAATTTCGTTTCCGCAAACAATTAGTAGACTAAAACTTAATTAATAGATTAAAATTTAATTCACCTTTAAAATAAAATTAATTGTGTCGTTAATAATTAGTTAAAAAAAAACAAATAAACATTAACTTTATTAAAAATTTATTGTTTCATAACAAATTCAACTCATTTTAAACACCAAAGCCATCTGTTGGCTATGTTTCTCTACATTTATATTGAATTGGTTTGTTTATTAGCTTGGTTTTATTTAAATAATAATAATACAACAATCATAATAATAATGAATAATGTTGGTTATTGATTCTAAAAGTTGCGTTATTGACTCATACATCTGTTTATGAAATATAAATAATATTAATAATAATGATGAGTTACGTTAATGTCACGTTTTAGTTACATGTTTATTTTTATGGAATCGATAGAAAATGGAATATTAATAGAAACAATAATAGTTTGCTTATTAGCTCGATTTTATTTAAATAATAATAATAATATAACAATCATAATAATAATGAATAATGTTAGTTATCGAATTTAAAAGTTACGTTATTGTTTCATTTAACTCTTTATGAAACATGAATTATGTTAATAATAAGAATGAAATTGGAAGTTACGTTAATGTCACGTTATAGTTACGTTACACAGCAGTTGTGAATAGGTTTGTTTATTAGCTCATTTTTTTAAATAATAATAATATAACAATCATAATAATAATGAATAATGTTGGTGATTGAATTTAAAAGTTACGTTATTGTTTCATATATCTATTTATGAAATATAAATATTGTTGATAAAAGAATTAAATTGGAAGTTACGTTAATGCGACGTTATAGTTACATAAAACTTGTTCTTGGAATATTAATAGTAACAATAACAATAACGAGAAAAATGAATATAACAAACAGTTTTATGAAGCATTAATACAATCTTTTAACGTTTTTCCAAAAAATGTAATAGATATATAAAAAAGAGTGCGCGTAAAGTTCACGCGCGATTGAAGTAAAACTTATTTGCTACTGTACAAGATGGCATTTAAGTAAAAATTAATACGTCACTTACGTCACTTATACGTCAATTTTGAATAATGTTTTTCAGTAATATCGTAACATTCGTGATGCACACATTTATTAGTGTCAACCATTATACACATTTATATAATGATAAATTATAAATTATATATTTTTAATAGCATTAAAAATATGTATAATATTTAAAAACAATAATGTAATTAAAGTCTTTCTTCAAATATGACATGATCGGTTTGTCATTGTAATTAGCATTTTGAAATGAACGTTTATTAGAGAAATGAAGTGATTGCTGAATAATAAATTCTATAATATTTGTTCACATAGTGGATTATGTTAAACAACGCTTAAACAGATATTGTTTTCGCAACTTTACTCATCATGTAATTGTGTTTGAAGAACTTTATGTAATTAAAATTAACATACATTCATTGACTGCTTGTATTTTTTTTTTACTTTTTCGCTGGCGAATATAATCTCATTCTTTGAACATATGTCATATCTGTCTTGGCTAAAAATATTTTCCATTTTAATAACTTCAAAGATTTATAGAAACTACGACTAATTGTTTTATTATTTTCAAAGAACAGGGTAAAATATTCTTCTGATTCAAGCATTTCTCATTGAATCAAGATTTGTACTACGATGTAACTTTAAAATACTTATTTATCTATGCCGATTACCTTGTTGATATCGGAACGCATACAACGTTGATGCCGGTATGCATACAGCGACAGATCTCTATTCACATACACGACGACTAATCACAATCGACCCGTATTGAAATGATTTCATCGAAAGCGAATGACGTACAGTTCTGTCGTAACGGACTTCCGTTGCATTTGTACGGATTTACACCCTAGTCACGTCTAAAGAAGTTTTACTTCAAAAATATCTAGCACAGTTCTCATATTTTTCAAATTTGATTGTAGAAACTTTGAGAAGCATTTTATTTTAGTCCAATTTCTAATTAATTTTATTTTCCTTACATAATCTATCATTTTTCGTCTTAAGTCAGTGATGTCATATTTGCACAAGGTCTCTAATTGTTTCGTTTGTGCATTTTGATTAATAATAATGCACTAACTAATGAATGAGCAAATATAGTTAATGAATATATTAATTTAATTATTCTAAACCTACACACGAATTGTTATAATTGCGTTTTAGAATTACAGAATGAAAATTTCCATTTAAGATAAAAAATAAGATTTGTTCACTTATTTTATAAATGGTGTGAATCTTGGATAATGTATGTCTTTAACACGTTCATAGATGGTGCTTGGAACTTGTTTAGTAATAAAAAAAATTTTTTGTCAAGATCTGCCGGAATGGTTTTTCATAAATATATTTTTGGCGTTTTACATACCTGCAGAAATTTTTTTTTTCAATTTCAAACATAATATTATGAAAGATGTGAAATTAAATTTTCATTTCAAGATTCTGTAATCTCGGTGCAAAAAATGTAGCAATAATATAAAAATGTAATATACAAACTGTAGTTTTGTAGATGATTTTGTCTACTTTTTATGCCTTTAAGATGAATTTTTGAAAAATTGTATGGTTCTCAAAGTTTCTACAAAAAGTCTAGGAAAATGTACTTACACTTACATTGAATACAAATTTATTTTATAATTCTTCTTTTTCCGGTAAAATGTTATAAATATGTGATCATGTTCAATTTGTAGATAATTGTATTTAGTTTCTAGGTTTTTATTATAAAATGTCGGAAAAAACAACGGTTCTCAAAGTTTCTACAAAAAGTCTATGAAATTGTACTTACACTTACATTAAATATAAATTTATTTTATAATTCATTTTTTCTGTAAAAATGTTATAAATATGTGATTATGTTCAATTTATAGATAAGTTTATGTAGTTTATTTGTTTTTAAAATAAAATACCGGAATAAACAATACTTCTCAAAGTTTCTACAAAAAGTTTGGGAAAATGTACTTACACGTATTTGAAAAATAAATTTGTTTTATAATTCTTTTTTCGGTAAAAACGTTATAAATATGTGATTATGTTTAATTTGTGGATGATTTTGTGTAGTTTCTGTGTTTTTAAGACAAAGTTCCAGAAAATTCAATGGTTCTCAAAGTTTCTACAAAAGCTCTTCATAAATGTACGTACTCATCTAGATAATAATACTTATTTTGGAATTATGTCATTTTTTCTGGAAGCATTTCACATAATTGTGAATATGATAAATTTGTAGACAATTTTACCGTGTTTCTAAATTTTTGTGTTTCTCAAAGTTTCTACAAAAAGTCTAGGAAAAGGCACTTGCACTGTATATAAATTTTATTTTGATTTTTTGATTAAATACGATTTTTTTATACACAATAACATATTATCTATTTATATGTTCCTAAGATAAAACTTTGACAAACCTTATGTTTCTCAAAGTTTCTACAAGAATGAAAGATTGTTCGTGCCAGTTCTCTAAAAGATTAATTTTATATTATAAAAATGCTTTTTGTTTGTTAAAGGTGTTACAGACATTTTTAATACCATTGTTTGTGTATCAGTTTTTAAGTCAAATTCTTTGTAAATCCAAAGCTTCTCAAAGTTTCTCTAAAAAGTCTAGCCAAGCCTTGCACGTATCTGGAATATAAATCTTATATTATAGTTTGTGTATTTTGTCATGAAGAGTCTTAGGAAGTTGTAAATAACATCAATTTGCAAATAATTTCAACAGATAATGTCAATTGCAAATTCTCAAAGACAATATCACCAAATCCAATATTTCTCTATGTTTCTACGTAAAGTCTAGGAAAAGGCCCATACGTTCAGCTAAAGAATTACATATGATGCATGTTTATAAATCTCTTAATTTGTTATTTGAGATGATACATGTTTGAGTATACTTTGGTTTTGTAGATAAAACAATCTAATTTTTAGATTTTGGAAACAGAGTTTTGAGAAACTCAATGTTTTTCAAAGTTTCTACAAAAAGTATGGGAAAGTGCTATATACTAAAATTTATCTAGAGGCATAATCGTGTTTTATAAGTTTTCAGGTAATGTTTTACAAAATTGTTAATTTGATCTATTTGTAGATAATTCTATCATGTTTTATGATTTTAGTA